AAAGCAGTATACAGCAAGCCAACAGCAACTCTCTCCATATCTCTTCAATATTGTACTAGAAGTTCTAGCTGGAGCAATAAGACAACAAAAGAAGATCAAGGGGATACAAATTTGAAAGGAAGAAGTCAAACTTTCACTATTTGCAAATACATGACAGTTTATATAAGTGACCCGAAAAATTCTACCAGAGAACTCCTTTAGCTGACAAACAGCTCCAGTGGGATGGATACAAGATTAATTCAAGAAAATCAGTAGTCCTCCTATATATAAATGATAAATGGGCTGAGAAAGAAATCAGAGAAACATCACCTTTCACAATAGCCACAAACAACATAACCAAACAAGTTAAAGACCTATATGACAAGAACTTTCAATCTTTAAAGAAATAAATTAAAGGAGATATCAAAAAATGGAAAGCTTTCCCATGTTCTTGGATAGGTAGGATCAACATAGTAAAAATGGCAATCTACAGATTCATTGCAATCTCCATCAAAATCCCAGAACAAATCTTCACAGACCTTGAAAGAACAATAATCAACTTTATATGGAAAAACAAAAACCTAGGATAGTCAAAACAACCCTACACATCAAGCAACTTACAGAAACATCACCATCCCTGACTTCAAGCCATACTATAGAGCTATAGCAATCAAAACAGGTTGGTATTGGCACAAAAACAGACATGTAGAACAATGGAATAAAACTGAAGAACCGGATGTTAATTCACACAGATCCAAACACCTGATTTTTGACAAAGAAGCTAAAACTATACAATGGAAAAAAGAAAGCATTTTCAACAAATGGGGCTGGCATAACTGGATGCTGACATGTAGAAGATTGCAGATAGATCTATATCTATCCCCATACAGAAAGCTTAAGTTCAAATGGATCAAAGACCTCAACATAAATCCACCCACACTGAGCCTCTTAGAAGAGAAAATGGGTGGTACCCTAGAATAAATTGGTACAGGAGACCGCTTCCTGAACATAACACCAGTAGCACAGACATTGAGATCCACAATTAATAATTGGGACCTCCTGAAACTAAGAAGCTTCTGTAAGGCAAAGGACACAGTCAGCAATAAAAAGCAGGGTACAGAATGGGAAAAGATCTTCACTAACCCCATATCTTTTTTAAATTAATTTATTTTTAAATTTATATTAGAAACAAGGTTGCTTCACATGTCACTCCCAGGTCCCTCTCTCTTTCCCTCCCCTCCTACCATGCCCTCCCACCAACAACCCCCCCGAATATGCCCTCCTTTCCCCAGAGAGGTGAGGTCCTACATGGGGGTATCCACAGTCTGTCATTTCATCCAGGGCAGGGCTTAGACCCTTGCCCAAGAGTCCAGGTGAGAGTGCATCTCTCACTGTGGGATGGGCACCCAAAGTCCATTTGTATGCCAGGAATAAATACTGATCTACTACCCAAGGCCCCATAGAATGCCTAGGCGTCCTCACAGATACCCACAATCGGGGGTCTTGATCAGTCCCATGCTAGATTCCTAGTCATCAGTCTGTGATTCATGAGCTAACCCTTGTTCAGGTTAGCTGTTTCTGGGGGGTTAAACCAGCCCAGTCTTAACCCCTTTGCTCATCAGTCCTCCCTCTCTGTCACTGGGTTTCTTGAGTTCAGATCAGTGTTTATCTGTGGCTATCTGCCTCTGCTTCCATCAAACATTGGTTGAAGGTATTATTTCCCAGACTCTCTGGCCATGGGATTGTAGGCTGGTACTCCCCAGATCTATGTCTAAAAACCATATATGAGAGAGTACATGCCATGTTTCTCTTTTTGTGACTAGGTTACCTTACTTGGGATGTTTTTTTTTTCTAGTGCCATACATTTGCCTGCAGATTTCAAGATTTCATTGTTATTTTCTGCTGAATAGAACTTAATTGTGTAAATGTACCACATTTTCTCTATCCACTCTTCAGTTGTGGGGCATCTAGGTTGCTTCCAGGTTCTGGGTATTACAAATAATGCTGCTATGAACATAGTGTAACAGGTGTCCTTGTTGTATGAATCTTTTGGATATATGCCTAAGAGTAGAATTGCTGCATCTTGTGGTAGGCTGATTCCCATTTTTCTGAGGAATCTCCATACTGATTTCCAAAGTGGCTGTACAAGTTGGCACTCCCACCAGCAGTGGAGGAGTGTCCCCTTTCCCCACAACCTCTCCAGCATAAACTGTCATTGGAGTTTTTGATTTTAGCCATTCTGACAAGAGTAGCATGACATCTCAGAGTTGTTTTGATTGCATTTTCCTGATGGCTAGGGATGTTGAGCCCTTTCTCAAGTGTCTCTCAGCCATTTTAGACTCCTCTATTGAGAATTCTGTATTTAGTTCTGTAGCTCACTTTTTTCTTTTTTTATTACTTTAATTTTAAATAGCTTGCTTCACATGTCAATCCCAGTTCCCTTTCCCTCCCCTCCTCCCACATCCCCCCAGTCTCCCACCCTATCCCCACTTCCTTCCACATAGGGGATATTTATAGTCCATCATTTTACTCAGGGCAAGGTCCAGGCACTCCCCTAAGAGCCCAGGCTGAGAGAGCATCCCTCTTTGTGTTATGGACACACGAAGTCCATTTGTATGCCAGGGATAAAACTGATCTACTGCCCAGTAGGATCCTTTGGCATTTTGGAGACTTGCTTCTTGAGTTCTTTGTAAATTTTAGAGATCAGCCCTCTGTCATATTTGGGGTTAGTGAATATCTTTACCCATTCTGTATGCTGCCTTTTTTGTCCTGTTGACTGTGTCCTTTGCCTTACAGAAGCTTCTCAGTTTCAGGAGGTCCCATGTATTAATTGTTGACCTCAGTGTCACTGCTACTGGTGTTATGTTCAGGAAGTGGTCTCCTTTACCAATTTGTTCAAAGGTACCACCCACTTTCTCTTCTAAGAGGCTCAGTGTGGCTGAATTTATGTTGAATTATCCTCATAGCACTGCTTTCAAAGTGTCCCATAGGTTTGGGTATGTTGTGTCTTCATTCTCAGTGAATTCTAGGAAGTCTTTAATTTCTTCTTTTATTACTTCTTTGACCCAGGGATGGTGCAGTTGAGCATTATTCAATTTCCATGAGTTTGTAGGTTTTCTGCAATTTGTGTTGTTGTTGAATTCGAATTTTAAAGCATGGTGGTCTGATAAGATGCATGGAGTTATTCCAATTTTTTGTAGCTGCTGAGGTTTGATATATTGCCAAGTATGTGGTCGATTTTTGAGAAGGTTCCATGTGGTGCTGAGAAGAAGGTATATTCTTTTTTATGTGGATGAAATGTTCTATAGATGTCTGTTAATCCCAGTTGGGTCATTACTTCTATTAGACCCTTTGCTTCTTTGTTGAGTTTCTGTCTGGTATTCCTGTCTAGTGGTGAGAGTGGTGTGTTGAAATCACCCACTAAATTGTGTGGGGCTTTAGATGTGATTTAAGTTCTAATAATGTTTCTTTTACGAATGTGGATGCCTTTGTATTTGGGGCATAGATGTTCAGGATAGACACTTCATCTTGGTGGGTTTCACCTGTGATGAATATGTAATGACCTCCTTCATCTCTTTTGATTGATTTTATTTTAAAGTCTAGTTTGTTAGATATTAGGATTGCTACCCCTGCTTGTTTCTTGGATCCATTTGATTGAAAAAAATTTTCCCAACCTTTAACTCTCAGGTAATGTCTGTCTTTGAGGCTGAGGTGTGTTTCTTGTAGAAGCAAGGTTTCTTGATCCATGGATGCTAGAGTTCTGGCTAGTTCCAGAATTGGACAGGGTAGTTATACATCTGGAACCTCTGGGATCTTAACCCCAGTGATCTCAATTTGTCTTCTCTCTATTTCAAAAGATCTCTCTGGGAGAAACAGGCAGACAGACAGAATAAAATTGTTTTCTTTCTTTCTGAAAGGAATCTTGCTTGGTAATCTAGCCCTATATTGGCTGTCTGTCCTGGAAGGACTAAGTACTCTCCTGGGCACAGTGTTTGTTCACACACATCTGTATGTGCTCAGGCTTAGCTGCACATGCTCACTCAGTGCCTTCCATGGAGTTCACAAAATAAGTTTATATCAGCATCCTGGACACACCTATCAGATAGATACATTCCCTAAAATTTAATGAACAAAACTTAACCTATCATAACCCTTGTTATGAAACTGTTATAAAAATGTAAGTGGAAATAGTAAAAACAAATAAACAAAAACCGAGCCCACTGAGAAGATTTAAGTGGAATCTGCTGATTACTAAATGGAAAGATTCCATTTTCATGAAGTAAAAGGCCATGCTTTTCATTATGTAGTATTTAATATACCCTGAATTCTATTTTTTCTTTCCCTTTCTTAGATTCTATGAGCCAGGATTTCATTATGTAGCCCAGACTGGCCTGGAAAAGTTACTCATCTTGTGTAGCTCAAAATGACTCACATGTGTCCCAATCCTCTTGTCTCAGCTTCATTGGATCTGGGATGTCAATTAGCCATACCTACCTTCAAAGAGTTTATTGTAGTTTTCAGGTCAAATTTCCAAAAAAGACGTGAACCTGAGATTAAGTGCACATTTTATGACATTTAGTTCACCTCCAACTACTATTCTTGATTTTCATAGTACTCAATGTCTTTTTATCAGTATAATTTTAGTACTGGCATGTGACTGGATAGAATCTCTATGTGAGAATATGTCATTCAAAGTAGTTATTGGATACCAACTGTTTTCAAGACCTTTCCTCCCTCTAGGAATTTTATGCTGTCACATGCTTAAATAAAAGGGTTCTGTTGTACCTTCCATACGTTAGAGCAGAGATAAAATTTTGAAATCTTTGTGTAATGTATTTTAATGATGCGTACTAACTTATGAGATATGGAGGGTCATGTAATGGGATTGACCCTTGAGGTACAGTGAAAGGAGGTGAGCATTCCCCCCCCCAGAATTTATTGTTATTGAGATCACTTAACTTCTTATGGAAACTTAACAAAAACTATTTGAATGTTTACTTCTGACTGGATATTATAGTTTTTTATATTGAACTGTTATGAAGATTGTGGAGATAAATTTCACTGGATTTAGGGCTAAGCATTCTTAGTACTCTTTCCCTTATCTGCTTTGTTCTGACTCCATAGATAACAGGGTTCAGGGCAGGGGGAAACCACATACAGGTTGGCTAGAAGTATGTGTATGTAATGAGGGATATGTGGCTAAATCAATGTGTCATGAAGGAGAAGAGGGCTGGTAGGTTAATGGCCAAATGACACACACATGGGAGCCACATGTGCTAAGGGCCTTGAGCCGAGCATCCCAGGATGGAAGGTGAAAGACTGTTTGGAGAATACGGATGTAGGAAAATCCAATCACAGATAGGTTGATGTATCCCTCTGAGAAAGCAACTAATCCATAAATGACATTGACCCTGATACTGGTACATGCTAGCTTTGCCAAACCCATGTGTTCACAGTAGGTATGGGGGACAATCTGGACACCACAGAATGGCAACCTCAAGATGAGAAATATAAATGGAGTCACAAACACCAAAGTCCTAACTATGATGACTACACAATAGCAGCTAGTACCTTGTTGGTGAGGATCATGTTATACTTCAGTGGGTTGCATATAGCAACATATCAATATATGATCATAACTGTCAGCACCACATATTCCAGGCCAGTGCATATGTGTATGGTATACATCTGTGTGATGCAGGCCTCACCAGAAAATGCCCAGCATCTTGGGAATGGTGGCTATGGATAAGCCCAAATCAGTGCAAGTCAACATGGCAAGGAAGTAGACCATGGTAGAGGCTGCATTCAGTTTGGATCACAAATAAGATGATGGTGTTCTCCGGGACAGCTATTAGATACACTGCAAAGAAGGGCAAGCTGATTACAGGTGTACATCTTCCTGTCTGGGATGCCTATAAGGAGGAAGAAGGAAGGGTAGAATGAAGTATATTAGTGTGAACTAATTGCAGATGCATTTCTTGTAGTTTTCTGGCTTCCACTGAGAGACCCTAACTTCTTTCATAGTATGTTGTGTAATTCTTGCAGAAGTGGAAAACCTATTCTTCAGTTCCATAACATAGCGCATGAGACCTGAAGGGGTAATAGCAGATACATTAACTTTGAAAAATTTGCTTAGTATTTATAGAAAAAACACGCAGAAGACTTTCACACTTAGAACAAGCACACACTTCATTCATTATTCCTCCAGTCTTTAAGGAAGAGCTTATATATTTTAATTTAGCAACTATTTGTTGATAATCACACTAGCTAATTAGAACATAAAGTATATAACCCACATAGAGTTTCTTTCTTTTCCATCTCTCTCTCCGTCCCTCCCTTTCTCTCTCTTTCCCTAATGTCGGTGTGTATATGTGTTTGTGAAGTGTGCAGTATATCATTAGTCTTGATTTAGGAGATGATGATTCAACAGGTTGTGGAGTGTAATGATACATTTTTTATGTAATGCAGTTTGTTCTCTATTAATATGCAGTACATTTTCAGGTTCTAAGATGTGTAGATATTGAACAAATTTTCCTTCATTTAAAATATCGTCTTGTTTAACTACCATGGCATTTTGAATCTGATTTTTAAATGCTCTATATATTTATATTTTTATCTGTATCTCAATGTATGTTTCTCCGTATTTTTATATTTTGCTGTTTTACATTATATTGTTAATGAAATTTACTAACCAACATTGTTAATTTGGACTGTTACAGAATTGTCCTACTTGGATTTTAAAATACATTTTAATTTAAATTAAAACAATCTTATTTTACATACCAATCTCAGTTCCTTCTTCTTGCCATCCTCCCATGCCACCCACCAACCCCCTATCCTATCCCCCACTGACTCCCAGGGAGAGTGATTTCTCCAATGGGTGAATCATCAAAGTCTGTCACATTATTTGGTGCAGGACCTAGGCCTTCCCTCTTGTATCTAGGCTGAGAGAGTATCCTTCCATAGGGAATGGGCTCCCAAAGCCCATTTGTGCACTAAGAATAAATACTGGTTCCACTGCCACAGGCCCTGTAGAGTTCCCAGGCCTCAAAACTGACACCATGTTCAGGGGGCCTGGTTCTGTCCTATGATGGTTCCCAAGCTGTCAATCAGGAGTCTGTGAGCTCCCACTTGCTCAGGTCAACTGTTTCTTTGGGTTTCCCCAGGATGGCCTTGACCCCTTTGCTCATCATTCCTCCCTCTCTACAACTGGATTCCAGGAGTTTGACTCAGTGCTTTGTTGTGAATCTCTGTTTCTGCTTCCATCAGCTACTGGATAAAGGCTCTAGGATGGCATATAAGGTAGTCATCAATCTCATAGTGGAAAGGCATTTAATGTATACTCTCTGCTATTGCTTAGATTCTTAGTTGGGGCCCTCCTTGTGGATCCCTGGACATTTCCTTAGTGCCAGATTTGTCTTTAAACCTATAATGGCTCCCTCTGTTAAGGTATCTCTTGTCTTGCTCTCCTTCTATATTCTTCCTCCAATTCAATCTTCCTGATCCCTCATGTTGTCCTCCTTCATTCCTTTCTCCCCTCCTCTTTTTTCTACCTCCATCCCCACTCCCCCTGTGCTCCTAATTCGCTCAGGAGATCTTGTCCCTTTCCCCTTCTCCAGGGGACCATGAATATGTCTATTTGGGTCTTCCTTGTTTCCTAGCTTCTGTGTGGTTGTGGATTATAGGCTGGTTATCCTTTGCTCTATGTCTAATATCCACTTATGAGTGAGTACATACCATGTTTTTCTTTCTGTGCCTCAGTTACCTCACTCAGAATGGTTTCTTATAGTTCCATCCGTTTACCTGCGAATTTCAAGATGCCACTTTTTTTTCAGCTGAGTAGTATACCATTTTGTGAATGTACCACATTTGTTGTATCCATTCTTCAATTGAGGGTCATCTAGGTTGCTTCCAGATTCTGGCTATTACAAATAATGTTGCTATGAAAATAATTGAATAGACGTCCTTGTTGTATGAATGCACATCCTTTGGATATATGCCTAAAGTGGAAATGCTGGATCTTAAGGTAGACTGATTCCCATTTTCCTGAGGAATCTCCATACTGATTTCCAAAGTGGCTGTACAAGTTTGCAATCCCTCCAGCAGTGCAGGAGTGTTCTCCTTTCTCCACATCCTCTCTAGCATTAACTGTTGTTGGTGTTTTTGATTTTACCCATTCTGACAGGAGTAAGATGGTATCTCAGAGTTGTTTTGATTTGCATTTCCTGATGGCTAAGGATGTTTCACAATTTCTTTAGTTTATTTCAGTCATTTCAGATTCCTCTATTGAAAATTCTCTATTTAGTTCTGTACCCCACTTTTTAACTGGATTGTTTGGTGATTTGGTGACTAGCTTCATGAGTCCTTTGTATATTTTGAAAATCAGTCCTCTAGAAGATATGGGGGCTTCCAGTGCCTGGGGACTGCCACTGAGTCCTCCCTCACGGCAGGAGCCTGTGCACCCCAGATTCCTGGTCTTCTTTTCCACCAACAGGACCAGGTAAACCTGGCTGTATATCCGGGCCTGCCTTCCAGTGCCTGGGGACTGCCACTGAGCCTCCCCTCCAGGAGGGAGCCTATGCAACCCAGATTCCAGGTCTTCTTTTCCAACCATGGGACCAGGCCTAGGACCAGGAAGAGGAGAACTACTAGAATATTGGATTTGCTTGCACCCACTGAAAGGGAACTCTGGTCCCCTAACCACCAGGCCAGAAAGAGGCTCTTTCTGTACCCACTAGAAGAAGGGATGAGAAGGACACAATACAAAAGAACACTCAGTAACAGAAAAACAAATATGATACTGCCAGATTCTAGAGACTCCACACCAGCTAGACTCCAACATTCCAATGTGAATGAAGCAGAAGAGAATGACCTTAAAGACAACTTCATGAAAATAATAGAGGCCCTCAAAGAGGATATGGGAAAATCCATCAAAGAAATGGAAGAAAAAGCAAACCAAAAATTGCAAGAAATGGAAGAAAAAACAAACGAAAAATGCAACAAATGGACAAAAAGACAAAGTAAAAATTGCAAGAAACAATTCAAACAGTGCAAGAGTTGAAAACTGAAATAGAGACAATTAAAAAAAAGACACAGTCATCCTGTGACTGATGGAAGCAGAGGCAAACACACAATCACTGAACTGAACCCAAGGAACCCAGTGACAGAGAGAGAGGAGTGATGAGCAAATTGGCAAAGATTGGGCTGGAAAAACCAGCAGAGACAGCTGATCTGAACAGGGGAGAGCTCTTGGATCCCAGACTTACAGTGGGGAGGCTAGCATGGGACGGATCTGGACCCCCTAAATGTGAGTGTCAGCAAGAAGGCCTGGGCAACCCATGGGGCCCTGAGCTGTGGATCAGTGTCTATCCCTGGAATACAAACAGTCATCGTGTGCCTATAGCACAAAGAGGGATGCTCTCTCAGCCTGGACTCTTAGGGGAGTGCCTGGACCCTACCCAGAGTGAAATGACAGACTCTAGATATCCCCTATGTGGAAGGGGCAGAAAATATATTCAACAAAATCACAGAAGAAAACTTTCCCAACCTAAAGAAAGACATGCAAATAAAAGTACAAGAAACTTACAGAACACCAAATAAAGTGGACCACAAAAACGTCCCATCGCCACATAATAATCAAGACCCCAAACGTACAGAATAAAGAAAGAATATTAAGAGCACCTAAGGAGCTGTTCCGCCAGCAGCATCAGGTAAAAAGGCCAGCTTCCCAGCCTGTGCTCCAGTGCCTGCAGATCGCCTGGGAACTGCACAGAGCTCCCAATCCCGGCGGGAGCCAAGCACCCCAGACTCCAGATCTTTGCTCCCACCAACGAGACCAGGAAAGGAGAGGAGGCTGGGAGTCCAGGGAAGCAGCTGTTCCTTGGGCAGCATCAGGTAAACAGGCCGGCTTCCCGCCCTGTGCTCCAGTGCCTGCAGATCGCCTGGGACCTGCACAGAGCTCCCAATCCCGGCGGGAGCCAAGCACCCCAGACTCCAGATCATCGCTCCCACCAACGAGACCAGGAAAGGAGAGGAGGCTGGGAGTCCAGGGAAGCAGCTGTTCCTCGGGCAGCATCAGGTAAACAGGCCGGCTTCCCGCCCTGTGTTCCAGTGCCTCCAGATCGCCTGGGAACTGAACAGAGCTCCCAATCCCGGCGGGAGCCAAGCACCCCAGACTCCAGGTCTTCTCTCCCACCAATGAGACCAGGAAACCAGAGGACCCAGGGAGACCAGGGGAGTAGCTGTTCTTGATCAAGTACAACAGGACCCAGCATAGGGTCCAGGGGACCAGGTAAGAGGATAAGCGCCCCAGATTCCTGTTCTTCTTCTCCACCCACGGGACCAGCATTTGGACAAGGAATAGAAGAACCACCAGATTATTGTACTTGCTAGCACCCACCAAAAGGGAACTCTGGTCCCCAGACCAGTAAGGGGCTCTTTCTGCACCCACTAGAAGAAGAGATGGGAAAGAGACAATACAAAAACACAGTCAGCAACAGAAAAACAAATATGACACCTCCAGATTCTAGAGACTCCACACCAGCAAGACCCCAACATTCCAATGCAAAGGAAGCAGAAGAGAACGACCTTAAAAGCACTTTCATGAAAATGATAGAGGCCCTAAAAGAGGATATAGGAAAATCCCTCAAAGAAATGGAAGAAAAAACAAACCAAAAACTGCAAGAAATGGAAAAAAAGCAAACCAAAAAATGCAAGAATTGGAAGAAAAAAAACCAAAAAATGGCAAGAAATGGAAGAAAAAACAAACCAAAAAATGCAAGAAATGGAAGAAAAAACAAACCAGAAAAGGCAGGAAATGGAAGAAGAAATGAAGCAAAAAATGCAAGAAATGGAAGAAAAAACAAAGCAAAAAATGCAAGAAATGGAAGAAAAAACAAAGCAAAAAATGCAAGAATTGGAAGAAGAATCATAACAAAAAAGGCAGGAAATGGAAGAAGAAATGAAGCAAAAAAATGCAAGAAATGGTAGAAAAAACAAAGCAAAAAATGAAAAAAATGGAAGAAGAAACAAACCAAAAAAGGCAGGAAACGGAAGAAGAAACAAAGCACAAAATGTGAGAAATGGAACAAAAAGCAAACCAAAAAATGCAAGTAATGGAAGAAAGAACAAACCAAAAAATTCATAAAAGGCAACAAACGGACGAACAGATAAACATAAAATTGCAAGAAGCAATGCAAACACTGCAAGGGTTGAAAACTGAAATAGAGTCATTAAAAAAAACACAATCTGAAGAAAGGCAGAAAATAGAAAAGCTGGACAAACACTCAGGCACTACCAATACAAGCATTACCAACAGAATAGAAGAGATGGAAGAGAGAATCTCAAGTGTTGAAGATACGCTAGGAGAAATGGATTTATCAACCAAAGAAAACCTTAAATCCAACAAATCCTAAACACAAAACATCCAGGAAATATGGGACACCATGAAAAGACCAAACCTAAGAATAATAGGTATAGAAGAAGGAGAAGAAATCCACCTCAAAGGGGCAGAAGGCATATTCAACAAAATCATAGAAGAAAACTTTCCCAACCTTAAGAAAGACATGCCAATGGAGGTACAAGAAGCCTACAGAACACCAAATAGAGTGGACCACAAAAAAAATCCCTTCACAACATAATAATCAAGACCCCAAACATACAGAATAAAGAAAGAATATTAAGAGCAGCTAAGGAAAAAGGTCAAGTAACATATAAAGGCAGACCTATCAGAATTACACATGATTTCTCCATGGAAACGCTGAAAGCCAGAAGGTCCTGGAAAGATATTCTACCTACACTAAGAGACCATGGATGCCAGCCCAGACTACTATACCCAGCAAAGCTCTCAATCACTATAGACGGGAAAAAACAAGATATTCCATGACAAAACTAGATTCAAGCAATATGTGTCCACTAACCCAGCCCTACAGAAAATTTTAGAAGGAAAACTCCAACCCAAGGAAGCTAACTACAACCAGAAAAACATAAGCATTAGAGAATCCCTCTCTACCAACAGCCAAAAGAACAAAGGGGTGAAATTCCACACATAATTCCACCACCACC